TATACATATATATACATATATATATATACATATACATATATATACATATACATATATATACATATACATATACATATACATATTCATATACATATACATATACATATACATATACATATACATCATATGCATATACATATACACATACATATACACATACACATACACATACACATACATATACATATACATATATATATATATATATATATATATATATATATATATATATATATATATATATATATATATATATATAATCTTTTCTGTAATTGATATGTTTTTGAATTTTGATGCCATGTGAGGTTTATGGGAGCATGATGATGGAAGAAATGTATTTCCTTTGTTTATATACTTTTTTTCAACAAGAAATATGTAATAATTGGATATAATTTTCCTTTGTATCATATTGCCAGAGCTTCATATTGCTTCAGAATTCTTAGGTAAGCCATGCTGATTTCCTTTTTCTTGTGATTTTCCTATTTTTAAGATCTAAACCAAAGATCATAAAACAATCCTATTCTCCAAACTGACATGTCTTTGTCACATATTCAATGAAATCACCCACTCATGTATATGTCTTTTATTTATACCCTGTCCAGAAAGTATATAATAAGTTCTTAGAAACTCGTTACCATTAATGGTGAAAACGCCATGGGAATGGAGTTTGCTACAATTCCTTTAAGTACAATAAAAAAAAGAGTAAAATGGTAATCATTTACTTGATATAAAATGAAATTAAGAAATATAGTTATCTGAGTTTCTGTAACGTTAAAAATACTCTTTCTGATCAAACATTCATAGAGAGTAATAATAAAGAGGGAAAACCACTAACTAATATTATTTTCACACATTCCCCTCAATATGCATCCATATACATCCACAAATACCTTAAGAAAATAATACAGACAATTAGAAATTACCAAACGCAGTTCTAAAGATGCAGAGAACCCAAAATATAAAATCTATGACGCGTTCATCTGCTCGGCAGACGTTGGGAGACCGCTCTCGCCCGCTTACGCATTGGCCACACCCGTCTAACACACTCCTATCTGATGTCACAATCTGATCCACCCCTATGTTCCTTATGTAATGTTCCCCTTTCAAGCCCACACATCCTATTGTTGTGCCCATGTTTTGAAGCAGCCCGTACCTCTGCTTTCCCTCACCTATCCTCCCTTCACCGACCTCCCAACCTATCAGACATCCTTACAGAATCCCACACTTTCTGCATCAACAACCTGTTCTCTTTCCTCAAACGCATACATATCCTTCATCTAATCTAACACCCGACCTTAACCCTTTCACTCACCAATTCCTTTGCCCAGCTTAGACAACTAATCACTAACTCAACCACCCTTCACTAACATTAACTATAGTGCTACATGACCTTAGATGTCTAGCACATTTATCTTGCTTTTAACCATTAACCATTCATCTGTTCGGCGATGCAAATGACACGATGGTGCGTTCGGAACTGTTCATCTAAAGCTCGGACGGACGAACATCATGGGATATACAATGGTGTATATCCCATGTACTATTTTTTTAATGTGGCGAAAATACACTTGGCATTTTGATAGGTCGGTGATAATTATATGAGACGCAGCAAGTTATTTGGACACGCTGTATTCGACCCATTAAAATCGACAACCTCTCGAGTGCATCATCGCCATAAAAGAAAAAAAAAGGTAAGCCACAAATTGAACTAAAAAAAAAAAAAAAAAAAAACTCTGACATCAATCCCAACCTTTCAAATTCCCCAGATACATACACTAGAAACAGAAAGCGAGATTTGGCGCCTTGACATCGGATCCTGTCGCTGCACAAATCCTGTCCTCGTCAGCTCAGCCGCTCGACTCCCTCCAGTGCAGTCGGTTGCTACTTACGGAGTTTATGTTGGGCATGGAGGAAGACTTGATGTTCATGGTATATTTGTAAGATCCATGAAGTATGAATTGCAAAAGTATTATATATGTGTATCCATTTATATATGCATTAGTCCGTCGATCTATTTATTCATTCATGTATATGGAGGTAGACAGATAGACAGAAAAATAGATAAAGCTGTGTGCTGGAATTGTTAAAGGTAGGGTTGTAAAAGAAATCATTTTTAGATGTAAGTGTGTGTGTGTGTGTGTGTGTGTGTGTGTGTGTGTGTGTGTGTGTGTGTGTGTGTGTGTGTGTGTGTGTGTGTGTTGTGTGTGTGTCTGTGTCTGTGTTTGTGTGTTTGTGTGTTTGTGTTTGTATGTGTGCGCGCGTATGCATGTGCGTATGTGTGTGCGCGCGCGTGCGTGCGTGCATGAGTGTGTGTGTGTGTGTGCGTGCGTGCGTACGTGCATGTGAGGGGGAGTGTAGATGAATTGTGTATATGTATGTATATATATCTGTATATGTAAGTGTGTGTGTCTGTGCGCTCGCGCGCGTGTATGTATATGTTTGTAAGTTATCAAAAAACATATGTATATATACATGAATATATATATACATAATAAATAAA